AAACTGAATTGCTTTGTACATATCAAAATAACGCGTTTTGTTTAAAAGGTTATGGGCCCAGGCACGGTTCCACTGCGCGGAAAATTGTTAAGTGTTTTAATATTGATAAAAGCAAATAGTTGGACATTTTGTATATTCATACCAGCAAGTAGAAGTTTCGTTTTTTTTTAATATAGTAAAGAAATATTTTAATTGAAGTAATGTCTTCGGAAAGCGAAATAAAAATTGAGAAACTTCAAGATAGTTCACAGTGGCTGACATGGAAATTCCAAATGGTGCAAATTTTGGAAGCTGGCGAAATGTTTGGTGTGGTCAACGGAGAAGAGTTATTGCCTAGCGCAGGTGAGCAGGAACAGAAGAGTTGGCGTAAACTTGATGCCAAAGCTCGCCGGACAATAAGTACAGCATTGGGAAAACAACCGCTTCTGCAAATTCTTAACTGTGCTTCTGCGAAGAGCATGTGGGATACACTCAAAAGTGTATACGAACAAACATCAACAGCGAGCGTATTGTTTTTGTTGCAGAAATATTACAGCTACTCGAAAGATCCAGAAGATGATATTGCGACTTTTTTGTCGAAGCTAATGGAAATTGTGCAGCATCTTCGTGATCAGGGCGAAATCATATCAGACTCGATGATTATGACGAAAGTTTTAATTTCATTACCGGCGGAATACAATCATTTCCATAGTGCTTGGGAATCGGTGCGGCCAGCAGATCAGAATCTAAATAATTTGAGAGCCAGACTCATGGCTGAAGAAATTCGTTTGAGTGCTCAAGAAAAAGTCAAAGCAGAGGCTTTTGTAGCCAGGCACCAGAGCCGGCCAAAAACCAAGAAGCATCAGAATAATAACAGAAAAACAACAACAAAGGGCGGATGTTTTAAATGTGGTTCAAAAGACATTTTAAACGGGACTGTCCGCAAGTGGCTAAATCGGCAAAGAATGAGACTCAACATAAAAATGTCGAAGCGCTGGTGTGTGGAGCAAATGTAAGCGGTAAGCAAGAGAGCTGGATGCTTGATTCAGGGGCAACGGATCACATGAGCAACCGACGCGATTGGTTCGTCACATTTGAACACTACAATGATATCGTCAGAGTTGGCGATGGGCGTGCTATTAAAGCAGCAGGTAAAGGTGACATTAATGTTTTAGTTAACGACGGGCAAGAATGGGTGCAGAAAGTTTTGACTAACGTGCTTTAAAGCCGGACATTCACTACAATTTGTTTTCACAAACAAAGGCGCTAGATCGTGGATTTCATTTTCGGTCGGATAGCGGTAACTGCAAGTTCGTCAGAAAGGACGGAAGCACCGTAGCAGTGGGAGTGCGTCATGAAAAATTATTTCATATGCTGATAAAGGTTCCGGAATGTACTATGGCAAATATTGCAGCAAATGAAAAGTTATCTTTGCGTACATGGCATGATCGAATGGGTCATCAGAATGCGGCACATGTTAGGCAATTTCTCAAGAGCGTAAATGCGAATTTCATTGATGAGGAATTTACATGTGAAGGATGTATTCTGGGCAAACAACATAGAGGCAGCTTTAAATCGCGTGAAGTAAAGTCAAAAGGCTGTGGAGAACTCTGTTTTGCAGATGTATGCGGCCCAATGCAAGAAAAATCCATCGGCGGTGCTAGGTATTTTTTACTTATTAAAGATGATTATTCGCATTTGCGCTTCGTGTACTTCATGAAAGAAAAATCAGAAGCACCTAGTGCTATCAAAAGTTTTTTGATGCAAGCTGAAAAAATTGATCAGCATGTAATTAATGCTGACAGATAATGGGCTTGAATTTGTCAACGACGAGTTGGCTAAGATTTTTAACCAGTTTGGAGTTAAACATGAACGAACGGTGCCGTACACCCCGCAACAAAACGGTGGTGCGGAGCGAGAAATGCGAACAGTGATGGAACTAGCGCGCACAATGCTTTACGCAAAAGAAATGCAGCTTAAATTTTGGGCAGAAGCCGTCAATACGGTAGTATACGTTTTAAATCGTACTGGAACCAGTACGGTGGCGCTAAAAACTCCACATGAGTTATGGTATGGGGAGCCAGCAAAATTTAAGCATTTGCGAAGTTTTGGTGAAGAAGTTTATGTACATATACCTAAAGAAAAGCGGCGCAAGTTGGATGCTAAATCGTGGAAAGGAATTTTCATCGGCTATGCTGACAACCACAAAGCATTTAGAGTTTGGAACCCAGAACATCGAAAAGTTGAAATTTCGTGTGATGTGCAGTTTCTTCCAGAGGCAGTGACTTTGAAATTGCAAACAGATGGATCGCAAGAACAATGTTTTGAAAACTTGCATGATGTTGTGAAGTGTAAAGAAGTGGAAGATAAGCGAGATGACGATGTTGAGTTTATTGACGACGACGTATTTTATGACACGGTAAATGAAAACAACTACAACAAGTAAGAAAGTCTAAGTTCGGGCGGAGCCGAACATTAAATACCCGGCGCAAGTATTAAATAGATGTTTTTTCACCTTTCCGAAAGCTACCGCTAGTTGGTAAGCCGGGGTGTATCAATTTTGAGTAAATTAGCGTCCTTAAATTTCGAATTATTGAAGTTTCAAGCATTTCTGAAATTTACCGTTATATAAAAAGCGGCCGTAATTTTAGTCCGATTTCAATAATTTTCAACGTTTTGCTTTTATGTAGCAAGCACAATAAAAATACCGAGTTTGGTACAAATTGGTAGAACGGTTACCGATATAATTATATGTGATCATAAGTGGGCGGTGCCACGCCCATTTTCCAAAATTTTACCATAAACGTATTTCTTGGTAAAGAATTGTTGCAAGCATCAATTTTGAATAAATTAGCTTCAATATTTACTGATTTATCGAAGATTATGTATTTCTCTAAATTACCGTTATATGGGATGTGAGCGTGGTTATTGAGCGATTTTAAAAATTTTCGGCGATTTTTTATGCTGTACCAAGGCCAACAACTGTGCCAAGTTTGGAAGAAATTGGTGCAGCGGTTACCAAGATATACACATGTAACCATAAGTGGGCGTGGCTACGCCCATTTTCCAAAAATTTATAATATTCTTATTTTTCGTCTAAAAATTATTGTAAATATCAATTTTGAGTGAATTATCTTCAGTTGTTACTAAAATATCGCAGTTTTCGTATTTCTGGAAATTACCGTTATATGGGAAGTGGGCGTGGTTAAAGTCCGATTTCGCCCATTTTCAATACCAACCTACCTTGGATTAAGGGAAACCTACATACCAAATTTCGTTGAGATATCTCAATTTTTGCTCGAGTTATCGTGTACACGGACAGACGGACAGACGGACAGACGGACAGACGGACGGACAGACAGACATGGCTTAATCGATTTCTTTTTTCATCCTGATCATTTATGTATACATTTGTCTATATCTATCTCGATCCGTTTTGGCTGTTACAAACAACCGTTATGTGAACAAAATTAATATACCCTTGTGCACAAGTGCGCTCGGGTATAAAAATAACAACGATGAGAGCTGCATAGCTCGTCGTCTACGCAGCAGAACAACTTCACAACATACAGCGGCTATTGTGATATGCGAGGAGCCGAAATCATATGCAGAGGCTATGCAGTCGGACGATTGCGGAAAATGGAAGCAAGCTATGGATGACGAATTCGACTCATTGATCGAAAATGGAACGTGGACACTGGTTGAAAGACCGCCAGGTCAGAAAATCATTGATAACAAATGGGTTTATAAGCTCAAACAAGATGCCGAAGGAAAAGTTGACCGCTATAAAGCGCGTTTGGTTGCGAGGGGTTTTACCCAAGTGCATGGCGTTGACTACGAGGAAACTTTTAGTCCAGTGGCGAGATTTACTTCGATTCGTTGCATTTTGGCTATGGCAGCAGTTCGTAAAATGCATCTTATGCAATTTGACGTAAAGACGGCATTTTTATACGGCGATCTTAGCGAGAATGTTTTTATGCAGCAGCCGAAGGGGTATGACGACGGAAGTGGTCGTGTATGCAAACTGGTGAAAAGCTTATACGGGCTTAAGCAAGCATAACGGTGCTGGAATAAGACGTTTACAGATTTTCTTCAACATTTTGGGCTCGAGATGTCAAAGCACGATTCATGTGTTTTTACGCGCAACACTAAAGATGGGTGTTTGATTTTGGCTATCTACATTGATGATGGTCTAGTTGCAGCAACAAATAGTGAGCTCATTACGGGGCTCATGAAACATCTACAGGAAGAGTTTAAAGTAAAATTCTTCGCAGAAAAGTTATTTTTAGGACTTGAAATTCAGCGTGACGCTGATGGTTCAATTTTCATTGGTCAAAAGGCTTATGCCAATAAGGTAATTGCTAGGTTTAATATGCAAAATTCTTCTATTGCAGTCACACCTGCTGACAGTTCCAACAATTTGAGTGATTTTGGCAAAAATGATGGTGATCCGATAAAGTTTCCCTACAGAGAGGCAGTTGGTAGTCTTATGTATCTGGCGGTGGCTACAAGGCCGGATATAGCCTTTGCCGTGTCAAATGTGAGTCGGTACCTTGAAAAGCCGGCGGCAGCGCACATTAAAGCAGTGAAGCGAATATTGCGGTACCTCAATGGCACGACGAGCATGGGTATCTTTTACAACAGCAACAGTGACCTTGAATTACGTGGTTACAGTGATGCAGACTACGCTGGTGATGTCCAGACACGAAAGTCAACATCAGGTTTTGTGTTCATGGTCGGCGATGGCATAGTGAGCTGGTGCTCAGAACGGCAGAAGTGTGTATCTCTATCGACTACAGAAGCCGAGTACATTGCTGCTTCTTGTGCAGTAAAAGAGCTGGTGTGGCTCAGGCGCTTTTGGCTTGGTCTTGGTGGTCCCGATATGACGGTATTTTGTGTTGACAACCAAAGCGCCATTCGACTTATAAAGAATCCCGAGTTTCACAAAAGAACGAAACATATTGATGTGCGCTACCACTACATTCGCGATAAGTATGAGGAGAATATTTTTGCACTACAATATGTTTCCTCAACTGATCAACTGGCGGACGGTCTAACAAAGGCGCTTCCAAAAGTTAAATTTTTTCATTTTAGAGACCAATTAGGTTTAAAACTCATGTATTAGCTGATTAGGTTTTGTAAATATGAAATGTAACTAAAAAGTGGGAGTGTTGAAATAATTTGTATATTTTAGTTACATGGTAACCCTATTTTATTTATATAGACCTTCTGTCACATTTCACTCATCCAGTCACTTCTAAAAACTTCCTTTTGCAAGCAGGCTTTGCGGATCTGATTACATTTGTTATTTCTAAATAAAAACTGAATTGCTTTGTACATATCAAAATAACGCGTTTTGTTTAAAAAACGTTTTAACGCACATTGGATTTCTTTGCTTAGTTTTTATTATATTCATTGAACTAAATATTCGCTCTCTTTCTGCATTACTTATAGGCAAAACAAGAAAACTAAAAACTAGGTTGGAAAGGTCAGAAAAAGGGTTTTCTCCTAGGGCATTTCGAAATTGATAAACTTCGGCCCAAAATTTTACAGTTGAGTCTAAATTACTCCAGGTATGTAACGTTAACCGTTGCCATTGCATCTCTATGGATGTTATTTCGTCAGCATTATATTTGTGTTTTTGTTGCTGTAGTTGAACAAATACTTTTGGTTTAATTACTCTTAATGCATTTCCAACCGAAAAAAGTAAATTTTTTTTAGTGTGGCAATATTTGTAGGGAGGCGTTGGCGTAATTCCTTTATTAAACTGATAATAAAATAGCGACCATTTTCTCGAATTATTTTCTCGGCTTCGTGGTCAAAAGCGTTTGTGCTTACTTTTGTTTTTAAATACTCTTCAAAACTGTGATAAAACTGAGGAAATGGAGCATGGTATGGTTCCAACGGGGAGCATATAGGATCAAATGTGTCCGCGCTAATAACCACTAGGGAGCATAGATGCGAAAGTAAAACACTGAGTTCATTAAAAATCTTCATTGGGTCTGCATTATTGCTTTCGAACAACTTGTTTACTTTTTGCACCTGAAAATTAGGCAAATAGTAAAATCGGCTAAAAACGGCTAACTTTTTTTTACAAACCGGCTAACAAATCGGCTGCCGGCTAGATCGAATTTTCTCCGGCTAGTTGCTATCAAAACCGGCTAAATCTAGCCGGAAAACGGCTAAAATGGCAACGCTGCGCCCGTACTCGGGAAACACGCTTTG